TTCTAACCCAAGTTCTTATGGTTACATTAATTGATTTCTTTTTTAAAAATGGCAAAAAGACAAGCTTAGCACATTAACCCAAAGCCTCGGTGGTCATTTTTAAATCTGTGTGATCAATGACTTCAGGTTATCAGTATTAGATTTTACAGATCAGGGGTATTATACTTTAAAGGGAGAAACATTAATGCCAATTATATCTCATCTACAAAGTTCAGCCATTATTCAGTGCACAGCTGTTTTTAATTCTTTCTTTCCTCCTGTGGATGCCCACTAAAGTTGTTCTTTAGCAAAGCCCAGCATTAGAAAACAGGATGGTCCTTAGTGGCTCAGGAATTACTGAAGTATTTCTATTTATCTTTTTTTTAAGAGAAAAAAATAAAAATAAAATGGAGTTTCAAAACAGGGTAGTAGGAGAGTTATAAACATTAACATGTGGCATAGTATTATCTTCATAGCTGTTATTCAGAGTAGAATATAGAAGCATATCATGTCCAAACACTATTAGTACAAACCTTTTATTTTAATGACTTAAGAGAAGCTAGCTATATAACTGTCTTAGTTATCCTTAACATTTTTTTATTTTAAAAAGCAAAACAAAAAAGGATAGAAATAATACAGAATTTCAAAAAATAGTAGGAAATTAACACTAGTTAGAATATTATAAATTGGTATCTTAGAAGTAGTTGTTTGATCTTTCTTCTTTATGTCTAGATCTTGTAACACTAACAACCTGAATGTCTTAATTATCTTGTGTATAAATATGTTTTCCCTTTCTTCGTTCTCCTTTCCCCCATCACAGTTTGCTTTTTTCTGTTGAACAGTTTCTTAGCAATTCACAATATCTACCGTTGGAACTTAATTATGCATTCAATTACTCACATTCATGAGATAATATGATGTTTACACAAATGACTCTGATTTATTTCACTTATGAGTATGGTTTCAAGTCGCAACCATCTGCCTACAAAAGGCTCCAGTTAATCCTTCTTTATGGCTGAATATTACTGCATTGTATATTAATATATATACACACATGCACACACATGCACCTTTTTTTCCTATCCATTCCTTGGTTGACGTGCATTTGGGTTGTTTCTAAGGTTTAGCTATTACAAATTGTGCTCTCTTAAAAATACAAATTGTGCTCTGTGAACATGCTACACATATACCACTGTGGTACAGTGTTTTTAATTTTTCTGGAAAGATACACAGGAGGGGTAAAGCTGGTTTGAATGGGACCTCCAATCCTAGTGTTTTGAGTGTTCTGAGGAATCTCCACACTGGTGTCCACAGTGGTAGCACCAATCTAAACTCCCACCAACAGTGGGGAAGGCTTCCTTTTTCCCCATAGGCCCTCCACCATGTTATTGGTTGATTTTTTGATGATAGCCATTCCTTCTGGGGTGAGATGGAACCTGGGGTGAGATTGTTTTCATTTACAGCTCTCGAATGACCCGTGATACTGAACATTCGAAACTATTTCTGCTTGGTTTCAACGTTTGACAACAAAATATACAACCCACCCTTACAGTTATTACAAACTATAAAGTCACATAATTCCCATATTTAAAAGCCTAAACTGACTTTCTTGTTTAAAATCGCCTTGATAGTGTCAGCAGTGTTCAACGCAGCACATTTAAAAATGAAAGTACACGAATCTAAATACACACGTGTCATACATGCAAGTACTACTGTAAGGCGTCCCTGCAATAATGAACCCTCACAGAGGAAATGCACAGTTTGCATTGAGCTTCCAGGGTTTCATTCCTGGTGTGTCCGGTCAGTAGCTTTGGGGTTTGTAGTGAGACAGCTGGGGACAGGGAGCAAATGCCGGTGGACAGCTCACCACAGGCTGGCCGGAAGCTGAGAGGAGGCAAAGGCAGCAGCCCACTGGAGTCCAGGGCCCAGAAGTCCTGCCAGCCAGCTCCAGCCACTCCCACCTGCAGAGCCAGGCTGGGGACAGTCTAACACAGGGGCCTCGGGGGACATGTTAGGTGCAAACGATAGCACAGGGATCAGGCTGGACACAGCTAAGGCCCACAGGAAGAGAGAAAAGCGGGGCCATTACTGACAACCAGTTGGAAAAGAAGGAATGTAGACGTGCCAAAAGTAAAACACTCACACGTTCTGCTGGACATTCATACTGTGAAGAAATGTGCCAGCTGGCTTTTAGACACAGCATTTGGCAAGCGTCCATTCGTTCATCACAAAAATCTCAATGAGAGAGTTTCCTTAAATGACTTAACGAAGACTCTTAGAACTGACAATTAACCCAATTACTTCATTGCTGGTTATTTCAACAGTAATAATCAGAGTATCTAGAAATGAATTGATAACAGCTATATACTGCCTTCTCCACTTTTAATATACCTCATGTATTAGTCAAAACAAATCAACTATTATACTAAATCAATATTGCCAAATCTCATCTTCCCTGAAATTTTTTTGTGTTCAATTGATGATAGAGATTTTGTGTATCGTTCTATAAAAATTTTAGTATTAAAATGTTACATAAAAATTGAAAGGGTATATATTTATTCAAAATCACAATATGGTATTAGAACAATATAAAAATAATGAGAATTACTTGACGACCAATAGTTTCCTACCTAAAATAAACCAGTCTTCTCTCAAAATGTGAAGCATAATCTACAATTGGTCATTGATCAGAAAATTGATGAGTCAGAGTGTTATAGGATTTCCATGTAAAAAGAGTAAATCTTTTTTGAAAAAATGTTGCAATTTTCTTTGTGAATGTTGCTTATTTTTTAGTCATCTTGAAGATGTAAAACTACCTGTTATGTTAGAAAATGATCCAAAATATTTAAAAAATATACCTTGGAGCATTGCATTTCCCTGACTAGAAATATCCTTCCTTAGCTTTAGAAAGTGAGACTTAGCTTCTAATATTAATTTAGGCTATCAAAATTCCCTTACATAGCAAGTTTAACAACAGATAACTTCATTGTATTCTACCATTGCATATGCCTGTTATCTATTTTAAAATTTCATAAATTACATTAACATTTTTGCCTCTAGTCTTCAGAAAATGGAGGCTACTTCATGCAGATTTTGTCTTATTTATCTTTGCAACTACAATAATTACTATGTGTCTGATACAATTTGTTGAATTTAATGGAATTCAACTAAGCTGCCCCCAAATAAAGCTAAAAGACAAACAGCTATGGAAAATATGGGAGTTTTAATTATGCATTTAAATCTATTTGCACCTTTTTGTCATTATAAACCTTCCGCACAGAAGCAAATATAATAAGATATGAAATTGACACACAGCAGAACCTTCTGATTTGAACTGAAGACACATACAGGCTGATGTATGCAAGTATTGGCCCAGAAAGTGTGATTCTGCAAAGCTGCTTTATAAAGTGTTACAGAACTTGGTAAAAAACCCACTGAGCGCTGTGGCTTGAACTTCCGTGGACGTGGAGCTGTGAGAAAGACGGCTGAAATGAGTGCCCTGGTGTCTGCTGGCCATTCCTCTCGTGGATACAGACGCAGAAATGCAGGACAGCAGCGGGATCAATATTAACCATGAATCAGAGCCACCCAAGCCCACTGCAGTTCTGATTGTAAAACAGACCAAAGGGACACATTTTTGGAATCTCCGGATAAATGACTTCTCACTTAAATATTTTGTTTTCATTAGCCATTATCAAAATGTGAAGGCATGATGCACCTGGGTGAAGTGGAACAGAACCGCGGCGTCTTCAGCACTAAGAACTGAGAAGTAGGGATTGTGATGGCTCCTGCCCTGCCTTTGTTGCTTAGAACTGTCTCTGCTATTCTAGGTCTCTTCTGGTTCCACATGAGGTTTAGGAGTGATTTCTCTAGATCTGTGAGGCATGCTAATGGTATTTTGATTGGAATTGCATTAAATCTGTATAATAATTCTGGGAAAATGGCCATCTTCACAACGTTTTCTCTTTCCATGAACTGGGAAGGTTTTTCATTTTCTGAGATCTTCTTCGATTTCTTTTTTCAGAGTACTATAATTTTCATTGAATAGATCTTTTACTTCCTTGTTAGACTGATTCCTAAGTATTTCATTTTTATTGAATGCTATTGTGGAGGGTGTGGCTTCTCTTATTTCCCTATCAATGAGTCTATTGTTCATGTACAAGAATGCTATTGACTTTTGAGTGTTGACTTTGTACCCAGCTGTGTTACTGAATTTGGTTATTATATTTTTCAATGGAGTTTTGGGGGTCTTATATATAGAGTATCATGTCATTTGTGAATAATAGCAATTTAACTTTTTTTCCTATCCTTATTCCTTTTATTTCTCTCTCTCGTCTAATTGCTCTGGCTATTATTTCCAGCACTATATTGAATAGGAGTGGTGATAATGGACATCCTTGTCTTGCTCCTGATTTTAGAGTAAAGGTTGTCAGTTTCTGACCATTTAATATGACACTGGTTGTTGGTTTGTCATATATCACTCTTACCAGATTGAGGTAAAGACCTGAAGTTATACTACAATGCTACTGTAATAAAATCAGCATGCTAGTGGAATAAAAACAGACTTGAAGATCAGAGATACATCCACAACTACAAACACATTCACTGGAAGAAAGATAGCCTCTTTAGTAAGTGGTGCTAGAAAAACTAGCTTTCTGTATACTAAATTAAAACTAAATCCATGCCTATCTCCATGCACTAATCTGAAGTCAAAATGGACCAAAGGTCTAAATATTACAACAGAAACAATAAATCTTCTGGTAGACTAAGTAGGTCTTGGAGACAGGGGTAGGTAGAGAATTCATGAACAAGAATCAAACTGCATGGAAAATACTTCCCAGAATCAATAACTGGGATCTCATCTTATTAAAAAGTTTTTGCATGTCAAAAGAAATCACCAGCAGAGTGAAAAGAAAGCTCACAAATAGAGAAAACATCTTAGTGAACTGTCCCTCAGACAAAGGACTTCTGTCTAAAACATATAAAGAATTTAAAAAAATCAGACCCCAGAAATTCAAAGATCCAATCCAAAAATGGACGTGTGAGATGAATACAGAAATACAAATTGCAAATAAATACATTAAAAAATGTTCAGTATCACGGATCATTAGAGAAATGCAAATTACAACCACACTGAAATTCCATCTCACTCCAGAAAGAATGGCCAAGATCAAGAAAACCACCAATAACAAATGCTGGAGAGGCTGTGGAGAAAAAGGAACTCTCCTGGACTGTTGGTAGGAGTGTGGACTGTTGCAACCACTGTGGAAGTCAGTCTGGAGGTTCCTCAAAAAAGCTGGGATTTGAAGTCCCATTTGATCCAGCTATTCCACTTCTAGGCATATTTCCAGAAGAACTGAAAACATCATACCACAGTGATAATATGCACCTATGTTTACAGCAGCACAATTTGTAATGGCAAGATCTTGGAAACAACCTAAGTGTCCATCAACTGAGGAATGGATAAAATAGTTGTGGTATTTTTATACAATGGAGTACTACTCAGCTATAAAGAATGACCACATTGAAACATTTATAAATAAATGGACGCAGCTCGAGACCATACTCATAAGTGAAATAAATCAAACTCACATGTATAAATACTGAATAGTTTCCCTAGTGTAAGAAATGATAAGAATGCATGAAAGTACGTGGTAATCATGATTCCCAGTCACACTGGATTGAAGCCATATAATGTTTTCACTCGTTAATTGGAATGGTTTGAATCTGGGTATTTTTATTTTATTGTCTGTGATACTACAAATAACTATTTTGAAGAAAATAAGAGCATAATAGCTAGTGCTGATTTAATATCATCCTGTTTTGAAGCCCCATCAAGTTGTTGTTCATTTGTTTCCATTGGTTCTAATATGTTGTATCTTATTATACCTTAATGTATGCAATAGGATAAGCAAAATTTTTATAGACAAAGAGATAATATAGAAATTGATGTTTGGTTTTTGCTAGCTGGGGAAAGGTTAGCTTTGCACTGAGGCCATTAGTGGTGGGAAGAATTCCTTACTTTTTAAATGAATTTGATTGGCTACATTTCAGGGTTACAGTGTGAAGGTCATGGAGGATGCCAATACATCTGTTCTCTCCCATCACAGTGAGCCTTGTCCTGTGTGAAAGATGGGCTGAATTCTGTTTCCTTAACAAAATTTCTTGACATGCATTTATTAACTGGGCTTCATAGGTCATGCATCATATCTGTACACCTGCTCATTCCGCATGGCTAAGGTGTGAGGTCATTTTCCATTTCTACCTGGGTTCCCCTGCACTGCTCCTGGTGACCCCTGTTTCATCTGCTGGGTTTTTTCCCCTATCTTTTTATATTTGATCATTTTTTCTTTTGATATACCATATGAAAATGATATTGGGCCTGGTATATAGCTCAGTGGAATTAGCATCTGCCTGGCAAGCGCAAGGTACTGAGTTTGAGTCCCAGTCCAAAAAAAAAAAAAAAAAAAAAATGGAAAAAGATAAAAGTCGTGAGGTGAGATTAGTTAGTAGTTTTGTTTGTATTTTTGGCCCACATCAATTAGCAGAAATCCTTAAGAAACATCATGTTGTGAAAAGTGATTCACTGTAATTTTTTTTTACCATTAAATAATACACAATTGTATGGAAGTAGGTAATTGTGTAGTATATGCAATAGACAGACAGACAGACATAGATAATGAAATTATCTACTGATCCTTTTGTGGACACTTAGGTTGTTTTCATATCTTAACTATCAAATCTTAACCATTGCCCTCTTAAAAGAATACAAGCATCAGATAAACTATATCATTTTCTATTTCATCTTATTCTTAAGTGTGGCTCAGTAGACAATCATTTGGGTGAAGTTTCCTTCCACTTATCCAAATGCATCATGCTTTCAGTATTTAGCTCTATCATAAAATACTGGTATGAAAATGCTGTCTGGATTGAAAGGACCACAAATGCACCCACTACGTTTGGATAACTTCCTCTTCATTACACTGGGCTTCTCTAAACCCAGCAGAAATAAATTCTGAGCCTCTAAGAATCAAGGAGAATGATCTAGTAGGATTTTATACTGTTTGGGAGCATTATTTCACTCAATGGTTTGGAAAGAGTACAGCCAGGGACTCTTTGAGATTTATGGTTCTATAAACGTAGTAGCTTCTTCCATGGTACAGTGAGCTAAAACAAAATAGCAATAAATCCTGTCTTCATGTTCCATTTTTTAAAAAATTCCCTTGAATTATCTAAGTTTATTGTTTTTCATCTGAAACTGTTTTTTAATAAAATTTTAATAATCTAATGATCAAAATAATTATTATATTTTTAGGTTCAGTGTTGTGCTTGATAATTTATCAAAGGTGTAACAAGGTAAGTACTCAAAAGAATAACTTTTTGCTTAGTCATATGTAAATAAAGTGTATTAATTAGTTTGTACAATAAACATCTGCTTTTTATCAGAATATTACTTGCCTTATTTTTCTGTAATAAATAGGCAATAAGATAAAATATGCATAAATGTTGAAATTAGGTGGCAGAGAACAGTCATAAAGAGAAACAGGGCATACAAGAAGCTGACCTGCTTTTCTGACCAGAGGTCATCTCGGACACAGAGAAGGACCAATGGGTTTTCCAGTTGAGGAGAGAGGGCTTGAAGTTCCCAGGTCCTTATAAAGGAGGAATTCAAGAAGAAAAATCACATGAAAATAATAAGAAAAAGATTTCCTGAAAATGTCATGCTAACTCTGCCTGGGGTCTTATTCAGTGTTAGGGGGAATACTGTCATGGGTAAAGGACGATGTTTGGGAAAAGAAAGTCTAGGTCACTGCTAAGTGGAGTGGCCCTGAGCTCACACTAAGAAGAGGACCCTTGAAGATGCCAAGCCTCTGACAGCAGAGGGTCATGGGCGGCAGATACTGGCTTACTGAGAAGCCAGCAGTGGTGCACCTAGGTAGAAGGTGCCCTTCAAGAAAGTATTTCTAAACCTGTACTACAGTCGCTTAAAAGAAAATCTTGACAAGATTAACCTAATCCAAAATCACCTATTCCACCTATTCCACTTTCTGAGACAAACTGTATGATAGTTTAACAGAACACAATGAAATCTATCACACAACAACGTATAATCAGTAATACCCAGCAGGATACTTTAAAACATATTGCGGATTTCTAGGTGTTGGGGCACATTCATATAATCTGAATGCTCTGACCAACTGAGGCAGGCAGATTCCAAACCTAGATAAGTTAGGGACTTAGTGAGATCTTGTTTCAAAACAAATAAATTAAAAAGGAGCAGGGGTGTAGCTCAAGAAGAGGTCCTGGGTTCCATTCCCAGTACAGCCACAATAATCAAATAAATAAATAATGGGAGCAGGAACAGGTGATTTAGTTAGGATGTTGAAAGGAGGTGCTTATCCTCAGTTTTCTTAGCAGGCCCTAAATACAATCACATGCATCACTGACTTTTGGCTGGTGCTAGGAATTGAAGCCAGAACCTTGCACCTGAGACCCTCATGTCCTCCAGGGAGCTGCCCTGTGGCTGCACAAGCATCTTTAAAACAGAGAGGCAGAATCCACTCAGACACCCACAGCAGAAGACAATGTAAGACAGAGTCCCCATCATTCAGGGAACGTTTGGGCATTCTTCAGTTTCCTTTTATTGGAAAACAATACCTGATGCCTGAAGCAAAATATGACAATTCTATAGAACCAAATATATAAAGTATCTAGTGATCAATCAAAGAAAGGTCTATAATTCTTATCTCCTGAAAAATATAATCACTGCTTTAAAACATTAATGACCGAAATAAACCAAAAGATACATATACCAACTGGCAAAGAAAATTCAATACTTTGAATTCTCATACAAGATATATACAAGATAGTTAACTATGCTACTAATCGTTGTTAGTTCATCAAAAAGAGCAGTTTGTGCTTTCATTGTTCAATTGTTTGATCATTTTTTCATGCCTATACCTTGTAAATCTGAAAAATTACTTTGAAGATAGCAATATACAATATATTAACCAGTTTTATTCTCCTATTACTTTGTTTTGAAACTTCATATAGTTTTTATGTTTTTAAAATAAAACTAAACAAAATTTTTAAAAAGGAAATTACTCTTTCTACATAACACAGTGCTGTTCAGGGACGGCCTGACGATAGCAAGTGTTGGGGAGTAGGAAGGGAAAAGTTTTCTTAGTGACGGATGTGTTCCTTCTTTCGATGGCGGGGCTGGATTCATGTCATGTTCATATCGAAGGATAATATCTTATGTTTTAAATAGAGTCATTTACGTCACTGTTCCATGACCTTCTGCCAAATGGGTATTTTACTAAACTTGGTTCACACTAAAGAATAAATGCAATAGGGCTGCGGAATTCAGTGGCAGAACACAGCATGTTCTCGAGGAGGAAACGCTGTAAGATTGTTGACATATTTCCTCTTATTTTTGTGGGGTGCGGTGGAGTAGTTGGCTAAGAAACATGCCTTCTAGAAGGCACTGGAAACACTTTCCGTATTCTCACTCTTGCAGGGCTGAATTCCACTTTCCAAGGTTTACTCTAATACTTAATAGAAGATACTCCTCGCATAGGTTTTTTTCTGAAGTAGGAAAGCTCAATTTGAGAAGTTATGAAATTACTCAATTTCAGAAAATATGAAAAGTTATGAAATTGTGAGCAATAACTAGACTCCAGTTTGCTTTACGATAGGCAATTCTGGCCTACACTCAGAAGACGTGGGGTTAGCCTCGAAAGCTGGTCTCAAATACCAGTAATACTGGGCACTAATCCTAGTAACAGCCACTTTCTTTGATGCTTATTTTCTTTATAGTTCCTGAAAATGTGAACTCTGATTTGATTTTCAATCATCAAGCCCTTAAGTTATCTCCAAATAATTTTAAATCTCAAGAAGAAAGATGCGCTTGTGTACATTCAGCTTTAAGATGCATTTTGTCTTTCTCAGCCAACTGCCCTGAATACTTGTACACAGAACGTCGGAATTGCCAATGTATGGAGCCACTGACTTCCAGCTTCCCACATGCTAACCTCTTGTGATCCTGGTTGCACCGGTAGATTTGATATTTATTCAAATCTGAATCATGCTGTGGACGATGAGGTACCAAAAGCAAGTTTTATTCTATAGAGAACTAGCAAAATCCATCAGTGAAGAAGTAGACATACAAAACAGACGTTTCCCTCTGCTGCGCTGATATCACTGCCTTCTCCCGATCTGAAATTCTACAACTTTATTGTTGCAGAAGTGAATAGAATTGGTGAAGACTACATTGGGAACATTTTGACTCATGGCAGAAATTGTAGAAGTAAAAGGAAAAAAAAAAAAACGGTAAGAAGAAAAAAGCTTTATAATTCTATGTATGATCAGAAAAAAAAAATAATTATTGTCTCTTCCGAAGGAAATCTCTGAAATTCACTGGAACATAGGATTAGTCTGAAGACTGAGTGATCTTGAAATGAAATAAAATCCGTGGAAGAATGAAAGGAAGATAGAGATATTGAGTGCTAACAGTAAATGCTGTGTGTAGAGCTAGAGAAGAAAAGGATTCATCTTTTGAAGTTTAATGCAGTTTTGAAACCTCAGGTCATTCTACTTGAAAAGAATAGGATAAAGGACTTTGCGATCCTAGAGCAGTACTTACTGATCAAAATTGAATGTGCGTAAGAGTCAGCTGGACTATTTTAAAATGTTATTTTTGATTCAGAGCCTGATCTTCTAGATTTCTAATAAGCTCCCAGAGGAAGGGATACTCCTGACTCCAAGACACGAGAAGAAAGGGATCAGAGAATGCAGTGTCAATAACTATTACTCAAGGTGTTTAGACTTCAAATGAGAGAAACAGTAAGGTTTTGAGGATGACTACACAAATAATGATACATTAGATGTTAGGAAGCTTCAGAATGTAGGGATTTCAGATTCATTCTCCAGAAAAAGTGCCAATTCTGAGGATTTTCTGTTTTAAAAAATAGTGGGTTGAAAAAATAGACAAGGTGCCCATGACCATTGGAAACATAACATCTATTACTCATGGTTTTTAAAAAGGGGAAATTCTGAGCTCCTGGAGCAACATGAAGAAGCACTAGGTGTGGTCAATCTGACAGCCGGAGGTAAGAGAGCTCCAGGAATCAGCTCTGCAGTGGGAAGAGCCAGGCAGAGCAGGGGACGGGTGTTGTCCGCCTGGAACAGCCCTGGCAGGCTCTGGGGCACAGGGCTTGCACCTCTGTGTGCTGCTTGGCCCTGGGTCATCAGGGCAGCAAAATGGTGGATGAGAGGAAAGTCCACTAAGGAACTTGGCTGGGTTTGGGTTTGAAGAGGTGATACAGCTGTGCAAGTTTTCTCAAGATAAAAGACAAAGTCCTGTCACGAATTTTACAATAATGCACAGAGAATGGATTGGCAAGTTCTTAGTTCATAGCTGCAGGCGGACCCAGATGAAGAAACAGATCTTTGCAACCTTGACTTAAATCCCACCACAAGCCAGCTCCAGGGTCACCATATCCTATTTCCACATGGTCTGCGGACTGTTTATTTAGCTAATTCAGAGAAAATAGCTGCTTCCTCTTGTGTATTCCTTGCTATTCCGAAGCTTTTCTAATTCAGCCCTATTGATTCAAAGCCAGTGTCACTCGCAATGCTCCGTTCCTCAGAGGATGTAACATTGCTCTTAACTCTCCTCTGGTCGTTTTCCAATTTCGCTGTCCCCTGTGGGACTGATTATTGTGAGAATTGCCTCGGGACCTGCTTCTTTTATTTCCTTGCTACTATCTGTAACGGTGCAAAAAATCTATTTATTTAAGAGACCGCTTCTGGTTTAACAGTCTAGAGGGACTGGCTCACCTGGGATGGGTGGTTCTCTGGAGTTAGAAGAGCTCCAGAGGTGAAAGCATCAGGACAGAAAATAGAAAAGATGTGGTTCATGCAGAGTGATCATAAAAGAAGGCCCGATATGTCCCAATTTGAGAAAATGTTGGGAAAACTTTTCTAAATGAAAGAACATGAAAAGATGCTGAGAAATGGATGGGAGGTTCCCAAGGTCTCAGAGACATTGTTCATAGTGCAAAGAGGCCAGTTCATCAAATACCAGAATGTTTATTTGAGGCAGGACGGAGATCTGGGAAAGAGTGAGGTACCATAAGAGAATTAGAGTGTGAGACAAAAGGTATGCATAGGCAAGACCAAACAGGACTCCACAGTGTATTTAGACACCGGAGCCTCAGCATAAAATGTTGGAAACAACACGTTGTTCATATCTGCCTTTCAACTTTCCAATCTCTCCTCCATATTTGTACCCAGAAATTTTCCTGGAGTAGCCCTGTTTGTGTGGATAGCGACCTCTTCGGGCACACAGGTAATATGAGAGGTTTCACTCCACGCACTATCCCTGGTGGCATGTTGCCATGACTCATTCAAACACTGACCTAACACAAAGAAGGAACCAGCTCTCGTGTCTTGGTAAGACCATGTGTAAACATCTCATGACCACTTCTTCTCGGGAGTTTGGTTATCTAGGAAAACATCACTCATGCAAACAGAGAACTAAGCAGAGTAATTTTCTACTTACCACTCGATTAAAAAACGCTATCAGGATTAATTAGTTCTCATAACCAATTTATAGGTAGATTTGTATCTAATGCAACTGAGTGCTTGCAG